ATTTTCTGAAACACATTTTTCTGCCATGTTCAAGTCTAGGTCTTCTCAGTTTACAAACTGCACCTGGCTAATTGAAGGGTGCAAATTGTTACCTACAATTCTACAGTTACGTGGAAGAAGCTTAGATTAAAAATAAATAAAAATAAATATATATATATATATACAGTGGAATCTCAGAACTCAAACTTAATCCTTTCCAGAAGGCTGTTTGAGAACAAATTTGTTCAAAAACCGAATCAAAGTTTTCCATAAGAATTAATGTACATTAGATCATTCCATTCCAGACTCCCAAAATGACAGCATTTTAACACGTTTTACAATTTAATATCTTATATGCATAAAATCATACAGAAAAACAATAAACACAATGTAAATGAAATAAAAATTTAACTTCACTTTACCTGTCAGCTCTGTTTGCTGGCAGAATGGAGCTCTTGTCGCTTTGTCTAGTGCTAGGAGGCTGATGCGTCATACCAACGAGGTTCCAAAGAGGTACCAACAAGGTTAATGCCATGGTATTTTGTTCTAATACCGAGTTTTGTTCGGGTACCGAGACACTTTTTTCTAAAAATTTTTGTTTGAATACCAAATTATTTGAGTAAGGGAGTTTTCCAGATCCGAGGTTCCACTGTATATACTTTATTTTGTTATGGAAGACCAGCAGGTTCAGTATCACTGTACAATATTACAGTATTACAGAGAATGTGACATTTAACTGATGTTCTATAAAGATTGATACCAGCTTGAGAACTAAGCAGGAACACACAGCAAACGAAGATTTTTTAAAATGTATTTTTAATTTTTTGAAAGGTATGTGTGTGTGCACATTAATTGTTCGGTGAAAATATTTTATACAAAATAAGTTGCCCCTGTTTCCTGACTAGATACATTATCATGTTTTGCACTATATATGGACCTTTTAAGCATTTCAATATAATGTATTTAGAGCAGTGGTAGTCAACCTTTTTCCACTTACCGCCCACTAATGCATCTTTCTTGATGGAAAAATTTCCTTACCGCCCACAAGTTTTCGCGCAAGTGCGGAATATTTTTTAGAAAGGAGGGTGTTTTAAAAATAAATAAATGTACGTACATTTATCTTTTTATTTCTACTTTATGCATGTTTATAATGTTTTTAACTTTATAAAGTTTAATGAGGAAGCAATAAAGTAAATTGAAATTACCTTTACTAGTGATTAATGAGATCCTTGAGGCTGATGCTGTGAGAATAAATATTTGATATCTGGTTCGATTTTCGTAAGGAACAAACGAAGGTCTCCTCTTTCGGTGATATTCAGAAGACTTCTCTGTTTGCTCATAAAATGATTTCTCATCTGTGCATCAGCTCCCCTCCTCTCCCTCCTCAATTCCCCTCCCCACCTTTTTTTTCTTCTTTTTTTCTATTTTTTAACCTTCCTTATAACAATGTCCAGTAGGAAGGCTGAGATAGGTAGCCCACTTACTATTATTAGTCAACAACAATTCTCTCCTTTTCCTTTTCTTTCTTTCTTATTTTTTACAAGTACTCTACTCCTTCTTTCTCCTACTCTACAAGCACTCTAGTCCTTCTTTCATCTATTCTACAAGTATTCTGCACCTTCTTTCTCCTTTTCACAAATACTCTGTGTGGCGAAACCAACCTCGCCACTGTGAACTGGAGAAGCCTGGTTGCTCGCCTGCTCCCTTTGGACTATGGCCCTGCAGGTTAAACCGTTTATTTCCCCTGCAGAAAGGCTTATTTGTGAGATCTGAGTGCCATTCATCTAATAATGTGCACTCAGATCCCAGCTATCTGGGGATATGTGAAATGTCTGTGTGTTATGTGTATATGTGACTTTATGTATTTTAAAGTGTTTTGTGTCTTTTTGCAACCATGTGCTTAATGGAGTCTTGTGTCTATCCTGGGAGATAATTCAATTACTCTCCAGGATAGAAGACTCTGAAACTGGTTTGGGCCAGAAAGCCATGCTTCATTTAGTCACAAAGGACTTTCCCTTAACTTTTGAACCCCTTGTCTGATTCGTGCCATTTTTTAATATGTTGTTCCCCTGAATGGACTGATTATGAAAATGTATGTTTTATGTTTGTGACATGTATATTTTAGAAGTTAGAAATATTGTGTAAAAACTGTATTCCTCTGCTGGTGATAATGAGATTACCCATTGTGTTCAGTAATCATATCACCTGCAGAGGGGAGGATTTTGTGTGGGAGTGTCTGGGTGTATTGTACGGATTGATTGGTTGTTTTGTAGCGCCCTGTGGGCTGTACTATGTTTGTGGATTGGGAATAAAAGAGACTGTATGTGACAGTACAGGGAGTTCCTGCTTAACCCTCAAAGTGAAGTGTCGTCTCATTATTGGGGGAAGGATTTATTGTATGCTGTTCCAGTTTGACTGCTAGGAGAGTAAACCTATTCGTATGGTTCCTATTCAACTGTCTACAGCATTCTTATGCTTGAGAGAAGGTATACGCTTCTCTGGTTCGGTGATTGTGGTGTCTGCTGCAGTGCTTGGAGTCCTCAGGAAGCGCTAGGAGCATCTTTCAACGGAGGTACCCAGTCGGGGTGCCAGGCGATCCGTTACATTGGTGGCAAGCGGTGGGATGGCGCCCTAGTGCGAGGTAAAGCAGCTCGGAGACACAGTTCGTGGATTTACAAATTGAGGGCTAGTACCCGTACAGCGACCCTATGTACAAAAGAACTAACTTCAGCAGAGCAAGCATGGCACCCAGCTACACTCAGGAGCAGTATGACAGAGAGTTTACCATGCGGCTGGCTTTCTTTGGACCCAACCCCCCGGAGAAATACGTGCAGCTCGTAAGGAGCCAGGTAGACGAGTACCTGCAGTTCATGGCAGATCCAGCCAAAGGTATCGGCCGCCCTATCCGGTGGCAGAGTGCATTACGGGGACTCAAAGGTGTACCCCAGGGAGCTGAAGGTGTCGTCCTTCCTCCCCAGCGGCAGAGTAAGTCCCAGGGATCTGAAGGTGCAGTCCTTCCTCCCCAGCGGACGTGTGTATCCCAGGGAGCTGAAGGTGCAGTCCTTCCTCCCCATCGGCAGTGTGTATCCCAGGGAGCTGAAGGTGCAGTCCTTCCTCCCCAGCGGCAGTGTGTATCCCAGGGAGCTGAAGGTGCAGTCCTTCCTCCCCAGCGGCAGTGTGTGTCCCAGGGAGCT